GGGGAAAAGGGTGAAAACTGCGGGTTCCAGCTTTTATGGTTTAAAAACAGTGGTGGGCTCCTTCCTTGCCTGCTCCTGCCGAGGTCACAAGCTTCCTCAGGAAGACATAAGTATGCAGCCTGTACTGCTAAGACCCGGTGGTATCTATCCATCTGCCACAGCAGCTGTGAGCCCCGGCGCTCCCGAGCCTCTTCTGTCATCCCAGTCTCTGAGCGAGAAGGAGGATTCAGCTGAGTGCAGCAAATTCAAATGCGTAACTTTTTCGTTCAAGGTTGCAATATGTTTGGAGATATTGTCCCGCCAGCAAGTCCCTGGTGCAGCATCCAGATGGTGCTCAGGGAACCCGGGGAAGGGTTTCGGGGGGGAGGGCGCTTCGTTCCTTCTTCAGGCGTGGAAAACAACTGACAATGTCACTGGAGTTATTGGCTTCTCCTGATATTTCCCAGTGGTAATGGAGGAGGGAATTGAATATGTGGGATTTGGGTAATTCATCAATATTTTTAACTAAAAAGTAGCCAAAAATGCAGGAATAAAAAATCGCAGGGGAACATAGGAAGTTTCAAATTCAGTGCAATAGGAAGGACTTCAGCATTTCTTGCAGGTGATTTTTTTTCTGTTTTTGCATTTGAAGAGATTTACTTCATTTCAGATCTTCTCACCCAGTGACAAAAATCCTTCTTTCAGTTAGTTGCTAAATATAACTTCTCGTGCATCCAAGGAGATGCAATGAAGTGTCCATATGAAGCTCCTACACCTTGAACTCCCTTACCAGCACACCACACAGTCACCTGGACACACATCACAATGTTCAAGTTACATGGCATGGCCAGCTATGTGCTATTAAATCTTCAAGAACAGGAGGTTCTAGCCACAACCAAAACTCCCTGCAGCAAAGGTCTCTGGACCATGGTAAATCCCAAGTCATGCCTGGAAGCTGTTTGGATAGACAAGGCCCAAAAGGCCTACATGTCCTTCTCCCCACTAGGGTCTCTTTAAGGTGTGATTGCGCTGGAGAAGTGTGTGTTGTGGGCTGGATAAACCAGGGTCTTGGCCATGGCCTCTTCTGGTTGCCCTTAGAACAGCAGAAAGCTCAATTCATGTTGTACATAGAGAAATGTCAAAGATCTCTTTTGGAAAAGCAAAGTCTAACCGTGGACCACACAACGCAGGGAAAGAGAACACCTTAGGGTCTCCTTCTTGGCCACCTATCACACCACCACCATCCCATCTTTGAGTTGGTTCCCAAACTCCCCAGTGCATCTGCCTTGAATGTCCCTTGTGCCCTCCACTCCCCTGCCTTTGGAAGGGAAAGTATTTCAAACACGACACGATGGGAAACATGGAATATTTTCAAGCTCTTTTATTTTCCCCTGGAATATTTATTTTTTCATGAGTAGCTCGTCTGCTCATCTCTGGGACAAACTCTCCAGATGTGCAGGTAGCCTGAAGCCCAGAGGACTGGCTTCCTGGGCTCCCCATCCCTTTGTGTGGCAACATAATTTTGTTTTGAGAAACAGACCACGGAAAAAACACCACCACGTGGATTTTTTTTAAAATATGAATTTTTATTTGTTTTGATCGGAGTTCGAGAGAGTGGGTAGAGTGGAAAAGCAGAGTGATTTAATTCAGTGAAGAGGTCTAGTCCCGCCTTGTGTGTTAGATCAGGAAGTTAGTAGGTGGTTAGAAGAGTCCCCCTCCTCCACTCAGCTTGCTGATCTTATTCATGTGGTTCTTGTTTCTGATGTTCTCTAATCTCTCTTCAGAACTTCACTGTAATTTTTTGAGACATTTTTTCCGTTGCTTTAACTTATCGAAAAAGCTAAAAGCTGAAAAAAATTGCAGGACTCAAAATCCCGCCAATTAGAATGGGCAATTATTATTATTTTTTTTTCCGGCAAAGGTTGAAAAATACAATTCAAAAATACAAACAGGCATTGAACATTGCACCAAAAAGCATTTGAGACACAAATCTCAGAAAGAAAGAAAGAGAGAGAAACAGAGAGAGAAGAAAGGTCACAGTTTCCATGAGAAATCCCTTAAGAAAGTGGCTACCAGCTAGTAATAGAGAAAATAAAGTCAACAAAAAATTAAAAAAAATGCAATTTTTTTCTAGTTGTTAATTATTTACAGCTGTAATAACAGGATTGTCATGCATTAAACTGCTGCCAGCTAGATTCTTTCTCATAGCGGAGTAAAGAGTGTCTCACAAGATGGAAAACAAAGCAGAAGACATACCGGGGCACAGACTGAACCTGAGGCAGTGAAAATGAGCGTATTCTCTGGCAATTTGTTGTGGTGTGCTCTTTCCTGTGATGGGCTGCCCTAGCGTGATGCTAATGCAACCCTCCCTACCCTGGGCACCACGGCTGCAGCTAAAGCAGCAGCAGGTGCCCTCACCTTCAGATAGGACTTTCACCTGCCGCTATCCCCAAGTCAGTTGACAGTGAAAATCTAGTTGATGGATGCTTGTGGCCACCTGACTAGATTCGGCAGGCTGAGAAACTCCCTCGTAACAACCAAGAGGAGCCCTTCAACTCTAAATACGGCCTGGCAAAGGCAATGGGGCAATGATTCAGGTTTCCCAACTCCACCCCTATTTTTTTGTGGTTGCAAAAATCAAATTGTTCAATGCATGGTAGCCATAACGTTTGATGGGCGCCCTGCAAAAAGACAGGAGGAATCAACAGACTTTTCAGGGGAAAGAGAGTCCTGCTACCAGCGTAGCATGAGCCAATGGACTTACCAAGTTGACAAGACCTTCCAGCAGCATGCTTCTCACAATGAAGAGAAGAGCCAAGAGATCCCAAGATGATGGGATCATCATGGCTAAAGTAGCAACCTGGAACCAGGCTTCCCTCTCTAGGCAGATGGGATCATCAAAGCTGTGTACAGAAGAGATCTGGACTAGGACAGTGGGGAAGAGGAAAGAGTAGCTAGAACATCATATTCTGTCCTAGAGCTTCAAGAGCTTCCCCTTGTGGTGAAGGACGACAGCTCAAACGTTAGGACTAATCCAAGCCCAAGGCTCTCTGCTGTTTCAAACAGCAAGGATTCCCATGGTGGGAAGCAGGAACAGACCCAGAAAGAGAACTGGCTTTGTTTGCTTCTGGGTGGTGACATCCTTCATTCTCATGGCTGGGACACCACAAGGCACAGGTGGCGATTGCTGCTGACCGTGAGAGCCTTTCTCCAGCAGCAGAGGAGGGAATATAGGAGCTGCGAGTGCAGTTGCAGGATCACTGCCTAAACGTTTCCTCTAAGATGGGGGGAGATGAAGGGGTGCCATTAAGGGAGCTGACACTGGGTACCACTGCTAGGGGCTGCACACCACTCACTCACCATGGCCCCACCGCTCTTGAGCTGCCCAGCATCTGTCTTTGGTCCTGCTTGTGCTGAGGTGAGATAAGGTGCAGGTCCAGGACACAGCAGCAGCAAAGACCTATGCTTTTGCTGACCCCTCCTACAATTAGCACGTAGCCACGGACCAGCACATCCCACCTGGATGAGCAGCAAGGACTGGCCAAGAGCCAGCGCTTCCCTTTGCTTTGCAGAAGAGCCCAAGCTGAAGCACAGCCCTTACCTGTGGTGCTCCTCTGGTCAGGGACATCTGGAATGGATCCCACCAAGTTTTATGTTCTCACCTGAAGCAGGCTCGGGGTGGAGACCTCACACCCTTTTGCAATGCTCAGCCACACGTGGCTTGGCTGTGCAGTGAGGACTAATTGCTGATGGCATTCAGCTGTTGGAAAGCCATGCTGCCTTCTTGGAAACATCCTAGTGTCCAGGGCAGGACAAGGGCTATGTTGAAAAAGCTGTGACATCTGGGACTATGTTTTCTAGAAGGTCCTGGCCAGCAGGGACATGGTCCAGGCAGCAAGCCTGCACCGAGACCCCAGTGTGGAGAGAGGCTCTTCTCCCTTGCTCCCTTTGTTCCCTGTGCCTCCCAAAGCCATCTGAGCACCAGTGGAGAGGGATGCACCTCTTTCCAGATGATTTAGCAAAGAAAACGAGAGGGAAGTAAAATAATTGCAAGTGGCCATTTTCTCTTTCAAAGAGAAAGAGGTTTGACTTTTAGATATAAAGAGTTTGTGAGCATAAATATACACATGCATACACGCATATATATGTGTAAAAACCTTTGGCTGACTGAACAATAACAAGGTCAAACAGTAAATATTTATACCTGGAAGCCATCAATCTCATCTGTGCTGTGGCCTCTTGCCAAAAATGCCTTCAGGAGTAGTTTAGCTTGATATGGAGAGAGGGCTGGTGAATTGTTTGGGGTTTTTTCTCCCTATTTTGACATTAATAGAGCACTTACGTTTTCATGAATGTGCCCCTCGCCCTGGCTGAGCCCTCCCCACCCTTAATAGATGCCAAGGAGTCAGGAAAATGTTGCTTCTCTCCAGTCTGCGAAATCCACAGAGATATTTGATGGGGTGGGTTAAAGTGTGGCCCCAGACAAGGGGACAAGGGCCTGGAGCAAGGAGGGCTGGCCAGACGCTGCATGCTGTGATGGTCCAGCCCCAAAATCCCAGGCCAGCTCTCCACCACCCCCAGGACCAAGTACGTGGAAGGGGGGCCCTAACATGTCCCTGCCAACCCATTCCCCAAGTGACCCCATTGGGAGTTGTCGGGTCCTCTTTTGCTTATGGCTTGCCCTGGCAAGCTGGGGGGGCATTGTTCCTGTCCCCAGTAACCACTTGTCTTTGACAGTGGTCCTTTGTTTAACAGCAATGTGTGTTTAACTGCTCTGTTCCTCCAGCAACTGCAAAGAGGCCATTTCTACAGCACCCTTCGGGAGAGGCAACAGCTCCAGGTTTCTGAAGGTCTCAGAGAGGTTCTTAGTAGAACAGAGTGTTTTCCTGTGCGAGGTGATCTGGAGCAAGAGAAACCCCTTCCTGGTATGTGATGCAGCCCTATAATCCTCCCCAAGGGATGGCTGAAAGGAACCCAAGATACGGACAGAGGGAATCAAGGCAGCAGATGAGAAATGAATGCTCCTTGTGTCCATGGGATAAGCTTGCAGAAACAAGCTGGTCGTGACCTTGTCTACATGCATGGCTCGTGTCTGGGAACAGCAAGCATGGGGTCTGGTTGCTCAGGGGATGTCCTACAGCAAAGGAACTAGGACCCTGCCAGTGCCACCGAGCTGGTGGGGATCGGGACAGGGGTGAGCTGTGTTGGCCACAGCACTTGTTTGTAAAACCTAGGGAGTGGCGAAGGCAGCTTTGCTTATGTTGAGCTCGGGGCACTGAGGAGAACCAGGAAGCTCTGTCTCAGGTGTCACAGACCTGCTCGGTGATGTCCAAGAAGCCTTTTAGATGTTGTATGGAGGTAACTCCATCAGCCCTTTAGAAGAACGGGTGGCACCCAGGGACCACTTCTCCCCCCATCGCTCCCATGTCACTTTGCAGAAACGTCACAGCACGAACACAGCGCTTGCAGGACCTCAGCTGAACTGTCCCCTGTCCCCCCTGGGGTGCAGAGCTCTCAAAAGCCACACTGCTTTTGCCCATGTGGCGTTTCAGAGGAGGGAAGAGACAAGCTGCCAGCGCCAAAATGTCCCTCTGACATTTTCAGGAGGAATGCATCTGCAGGCTTGGTCCACGCTGTGTGTGTCCCAGGTGCTGCAAGGTATAAAACAGGAGCGCAGACCAAACAGATCATTTTTATCACCCTCAAAGACTTCTAATACCTGCTCGGGAGACTCTCATCAAGTCAAGGAGGCGTTGGGCCTTGCCAGAAGAAAAGAAATATGGGAGCACTGAGGCTCACAGCAAAATGAAGTGCCCACTCTGTGCACAGCTGTGGATTGGACTATCAGTGGCCATGTACAGACCTGTTCTGGTTCATACACCTGGTTCATACAGGACCTATTATAAAAATGAAGCCCTTAGGTACCACCACAGCAAGGACTAAACCCCAGTAACTGATGCTAGGTTAGTTCTGGCCCAGCCTGCCCTTAGAAGAAGCCCCCACCAGCAGACTCATGTTAGCTGGGAAGGAAACGTCCCAATTTGAGCCGCTGACAGATTTTTAAAAAAAGAACATTATCTACTTCTGTGATGTCTGCTGGCAGGAGATGTTAAACCACTTATTTATAACTATCTTCCCGAAATGCTTCCCTGCTTGGAAGCCAAACTACAAATCCTGTTTGGTTTGTTGTCTTTAACCAAAGGATGCCGGCATTTCTGCTTCCAGCTGGCGAAAAGACTCGGAGCCGGTGCCAGGCTTTGGTGGGAATAGACTTGGCTTTCAAGGCGTGCTAACAGAGATCCAGGAAGGCAGCCTTTTATCAGGCAGAGAGCAACATTTTTGGAGTCGGGATGAGCAAAGACGAGCCAGCAGACGGGTGTCACCAGCAAGCCGGATCGGTGGGCTGCGTCCTGGGGAGTGACAAGAGCCTCAGAGTGGCATGGAGGGAAGGGCTGGGGGAAGAGAGAGGCAGGAGATTCACCCCGAGGGTTGGAGGAGACAGATCTCATCACCCACAGGAAGGGAGGAGGCTCGGATGCTGCCCCCGGCACCACAGAGATGTCCAGCCCCGGCACCTTGAGCATCACCCTGTGGCACCGAGGCTGGGTGGGCAGCGGAGGCAGCGCCTATGGGTGCTCGGGCTGCTGAGAAGACCTCTAAGTCTTCTCTTCTTCTCAGGCTGCTGAGTAAGACCTGACATTTTACAGAGAGCCCTGCGAAGCAGGCACCAACAGACACAGGAACACGCAGCGAGGCGATGCGCAGGAGGATGTGCCCCTCAGGTTAGAGGAGATTTTGGGGAATGCCCAGGCTAGCAGAGGGGACCACCTCCGCGCCAGGGCCAGCTGGAGTCAGCTAAGTCACTGGATCCCATATTTAAGCTTGCCTTCGATGTAATTCCGTTAGTAAACACAATATACTCTTTGTTGCCATTTTATTGTGTTTGTTTTGCTTTTTATAGGGTTTCTATTCCATTCACTTAGGCCTGAGTATTATAGTGACATGAATGTTTGATGAGATACACTTCATCTAGCTTATTTAAGAAAATGACATCCAAGTAGTTTCCAAAACAAACAGCCTCACGGCCACGTCCCGTTGGAAAGCCCAGGGAGCAGGAGGGTGGCAGCAATGGCACTCGCTGCTGGAGGGGACGGTGCTGGGGGGGAACACGGAGGGGGGGTCTTGGTGGGGAGGGGTACGGTGCCACCATGGGGCAGTGCTGGGGTGGCCAGGCTGTTGGAGCAGGGTGGCTGCAGCAGCAGTGCCAGGAGGAACTGAGTGCCCCAGGTGCAAAAGCCAGCCAGGATGTTGTCCCCCCCACCTTGCCCAGCAGAAGGGCTGGGGATGGTGAACCTTCCCTCTGCTCCTCCAACCCCATACTGGGTGCAAAGCGGGAAAGCTGCCTGGCTTTCCCCTCCTCTCTGCCCAGCGGGGAGCCCTCGGGGATGAAAGGCACTGTAGAAATGTCATGGGGTGAGGACGCTGCGAGGACAAGGGGAAGGATGGGGAGAGAGCTGGTTTCCTTAGCATCGTTTTGGGGCTGGGGGGGAGGTTTCCACCCCTTGCCCGATGCTGCCTGCTGGTGTGGATGCACTGGAAGCTGAGGTAAATGTCTCCGAGCTCCTCTCCTCGCCGCAGCGGTAGGCAGGGGGAGTGAATGCGCTGCTGTTGAGCCAGAAAGATTGGTAAGGGACGGGCAGGACACGCACCGATGTCACACACGCTGCAGGACAAACTGCCCTGGCCTTCACCGCTCCGTCCTGCCGTCCCCATGGATATTCCAGGTGGGGCAAATCCTGTGCCTTGTGCTCAGCCCCGATCCTGCACGGGGAGGGATGAGGGAACTGAGCTCGGCACAGTGGCTCAAAGCAACGCTGAAGACATCACCTTGGGGATGCTGGGGCATCAGCTTGGCTGCACGTACCCGAAACATGCTGGGGGCAGCTCGGGGCGGGGGCAGTCGGAGGGTCAGAGGGAGGGTCAGGAAAGAGGGGGTACATCCTGCCCTGGGAGCAGGGCTGCTGGCAGGATCCCTGCTGCCCACAGGCTGGGGACAAGAACTCACCAGGCACAGGATGTCCTTCCTTGTAGCAGGACAGGGTGTCCATGGGCTCAGGCACCGGGAAGAGGGGACAGATGGCTTGGATGCCACCATCTTGTACTGCTTCTGGTATGGGGACAGCCACTGGTTTGGGTTTTTTACTGTGGTGGCCGGGAAGGGAGAAAGCGCCTCTCTCCAAGGCACTAGAGGGCTTTCTTTGGAAGAGCATGCAGGAGTTTGGTCTTATCTCAATGGCTTTGTGGGACGGCACCTGGTTCACATGGCTCTCTGGGACAGTGGTATCACCTTGCTGTTTCAAAGAGCCCTTTCTGCTGTTCTCTCATGGTGCTGAAGATGCTCAGCTGCATCTGTTCGGCAGGGGCAGGGAGGTACCTGGGGACCAACTGTCCCCTGACCCACCCCCACAGGTGGCAGAGCGGCTCCTGGTGTGTCCCACAGAAAACAGCCTGCGCCAACATCCCTGCTGCTCTGGTGCACCAGAGCAGGATGTGCCATGAGCTGGACTCCCCCGGGCTGTGCTCCTCCCCATCAGTGTGTCTCACCTGAGAGGCAAGGGCTTCTCTGCCTAAATCCCACCCATCAGCAGTTGGAATAGTACTGGGGGCTGCTGAGTAGCCAAAGCAAGACGAATGCAGAGCTGGAAGAAGGAGCTGGGACAGAGAAGGACAAATGGATGGGGCTAAGAGAAAGCGATAAACCACCCATCTGAACACCAACTCTATGGCTTCCAGTCCTGGTGTTGAATGCATGTGGTCTTACAGCTGCTATTCTCCTCAAAGGCATGATAAAACTCCTGTCTTGACTTCCTGACTGACCCTGAGAAAAATTATTTCTCTGTTAGGAACCACCCCACCCTCTAACATTAATTGCCCCAAGAGTGCAGCCGGCAGACAGACAAGACCTTTCTCACCTCTTCTTGGGGAGAGACATGGAGGAAACCAGCAGCTGGGTTAGGTGAAGACAGAAAGGAAGAAGCCCTGTAGATACGTACAAGATGCTGCCGCCCTGTTCCACCCCTGCAATGGCTCAGCTAACCACAGCAGTGGTGGGTTCACCCCCAGCAGGCACTGGGCTACAAGCCATCTGCTCCCTCAACAAACCAGCTCACCTTCATCCACAGCCCCAGGGTACCACCTAGCACACAACACCAGGCACTGAAGAGCAGCCTGGCTGGCTGACTGACTCTGGAGACCTCCACATCCTTGAGCCCAGGCCACCAGGAGCATCCACCATGCTAGGGCAGCCCATTGCAGAAGAGGAGGAGGAGGATGGACTGCAGCAGCAGCCCCCAGCAGAGCGGAGCATGGAATGGCAGTGGCATGCAGACCATGGGAAAGGCAGAAGGTGGAGGAGGAGAGATGGAAGCACAGGGTGACTTGGACAGGTGGTGGACATCAGACTCACGATGTTAGAGGCACAACTTGTTATGATCATTTTTTCTTTTTCCTTTCATCATCAGAGGCAAAGTAAAAAGAAACTGAAGTATATGGGATTAAATTAAAATCACAGCTTTGTTTACATTATAAAAGAACAACCTAATAGTAATAATAATAATAATATCAAATGAACAATAATAATTAAACAAAACAGGAAAGAACAAAGCCCTGGAGAATTCCTGCCTGGATGGTGCTCACTGATGGAAGGTTTGTGTGACCGGTTTTATTGTTTGGGGATCATTCCCTTGATAGCTGACTCCCGGTTTACGTATGTGGCCCAGTAGACCAAATTGAAAATGGCAAAGAGGACTGGAAAGACGATGCGGGACATCTTGTCTACCTTGCTGACGCTGTTGTATGTCTTCTTACTCTCTGGGAGCTTCTCCTCTATGCGGGGCATCTTGGGGGGTACGTTGGTGGCAGTAGCAGTGGCAGCAGCACTCTTGGAGATGGTGGGCAGGCCAGGGTCCTTGGCAATGTTGAGGGCATACGTGGTGCCAACAATGTTGTAGGTGTTGTTGGTTTTCTTCGCTAGTGCCACTGGCTCTTTTTTCTATGGAAGGTGGAAGAAAAAAACATAATAGAGATGAAGTGACTGTAGAATTGCATGGAGAACATTTTGTCCTCTGAGTTTACCTGCTTGCCCGGATGAGAAGGTGGAAAAGGGTGTGAGGAACAAGAGACCAAGAAGGTGGCACTGTGGAAGGGAAGGAAGATGTGGTGAGAAGATGGCCAGAACCCATGACATCTGCCACTTGAGGGGCTGCTGGAGCATTAAGGACGTGTTGGACTAAGGTGGAACAGCTACTTCATGTAAACCTGACATGCAGCACGTAGCACAAAGAGGTCCTGGTAGCTAGGTCCTGCTGCAAGTAAAATAACTGAAGCTGCATAGGTGGGTTTGTAGCCTCCTTGCAGCCCTTTGGATCAGAGTAGTGGTATAAAAAGGTGTGTGCAGCGGCACTCGAGCAGTAGAGGCCCCAGAGAGGTGACTCCTTCACTGGCCGAGTGCAGCCAAGTCTACCCTGCCTATTGCCAGGCGAGCATAAGTGAATGCAGGCTCAAAGTATACAGACTCCTTGCTTTCTCTCTCAACTGGGCAGTGTTAGCTGTTGTGTGTAAGGGTCAGCCATGGAGAAACGATGCAGGAATGTAGTCTTTAGAAAAGAAGGACACCCCGTGTGGTCATCCTTGGGGAGGAACTTGGATTTTCTGCTTTGCTGGCCTGCTTCCTTGGTCAGGTGAGAGTAGGAGACATCACAGAGGATGATAGTTCTTTTCTTTTTGTAGCAGAAAGCTAGTGGCTTTGAGAATATTGCTGACAGCTTTGCAGTATTTTTGTGCCGTATTACAAGGCTGTGTCACACACTGCCTCAGTCCCCCAAATACCTCACAGGAAAACCTCACAATTTTTGGACATCAGGATGTCCAAAATGCCTCTGGGACCCTTCAGAGCACCTCATGACCTACTTGGGTAAGATACAGAGCAGATGGAAGGCATTTGCACTAGACCTGGATTTCAGGATGGCTCAAGATGGCACTATAGGGCAGAGGGAAGTCTTTCCTCTTTCCTTCATATTCATGGGTCTCTTCAAATCAAAGGAGATGAGTACACCTCTCCCACAAGGCTCCAGGAACACGGCTGAAGGGAGAAGAAATTGCATAGCAAATGGCAAAAGAGGCACTTATGTGTCAGACAGGACGTACTGAAGGATGATGGAAGATGCTGAAGACACACAGTTCAGATGTTAATGAAGACGAGTGGACAGGAAGATGGAGCTAGGAAGTCATGATACGTGTTGTTCCCGCTCTGGGGATTTTCCTGTTGCTGTCAGGGACCTGAGACCAGCTGCACCGTAGACCATATCATAGAAAGCAATCCAGGTCTACCAGGAGAAGCACACTGAATGAAATCTATCTATATGCAGACATCAGGCACCCTACACATCCCAGCACTCATGTACTCCATGCGGTGTCCTCTGTAATTACACCAAGAGCCAGCATTAGACACAACAGTGACTCATGGTGGGAATCTAATATCTAAACTTAGAACAAGGTGTGACTTTGGATTTCATTTTCTATTCAAAAGCAACTGAAACACAAAGTAAGGCTCATCCAGACGTTTCCCAGGGGTGCTTGGCACGGTCTTGGATGTGCCTGTGAAGAAACCACATACAAAGTGGCTGTCAGGAGAAGAGGAGAGTGTGCAGCCAGCAGGACCTGTTCCCAGGAGGAGAGTGTGCAGCCAGCAGGACCTGTTCCTCTCCCCATCCTAGCCTGGGAACTGGGAGAGGGCAGCATCATTGGGTAGCACTGGAAGCACCAGATTCAGCCAGTCTGCTCTGCAGAGATACTCCAAGGGCTAGGGCTTTCATGCTGTTCTTCCATTTTAAATGTGCCCGCTATTACCATGGATATTTCTGGTTACCTTAGGAAATGAATTTTCCACAGCGATTTTCAGAGGGACACTAAAAGCAGACTTCCGTGCAATCTTTAAAACCCTCTCCAATAACACCACAGCCAGGCCTGCAGCCTCGTAATAATGCCAGCAATTACAGAAATTAACTTGCTGTTAGAAGGAGGTCTAAACGTCTTCAGACTCCAATACGACCAAACCACTGATCAGACCGTGTTCAGAGTCTTTTATGGGCGAGGGTGTTATGTTCTTTAATGATTAACTGAGCAACTGATTTCTGCAATCATTAGAGACATGTTAACTTGTACCCCCTGCACAGGAGGTGAACTTTTCCTGCTAAAGAGCTGACAAGAAGCAAATAAAGGACTAAAGATGTTTCACCTTCTAAAACATTTAAATATGCTTAAGTATGATTACTTATTAACTCAGCTACAGGAGGTAATAAAATAATTAATAATCAGTAATGAAATCAAAAACAGATTGTTGTTCGCAGAATGTAATTTGAAGTGCTCTGTGATTATTTTAGTATTAATCAGCCACGGTATTTGTTACAGGAATAAGATGACTACAAGTGACATGGCACTTTCAGCCTGGCCAGCTTTTCTGCCCCAGATCCGTCTTGCCTGGCCAAAGGCATCTGAAAACAGCAGGCTGAAAGGGAGGAAAGTCATGTAAATATGAATGCTGTGGGTGGTGACAACAAGCTGCTGCTCTTTAGTGTGATCCAGAGCCCCCACGCATCATCTCAGGCTTCTCTGGACCTCAGATCAGGCTGCTCAGGTGGTACAGAGGCTTGGGAGCCTTCTCCCAGCTGCCTATGGAGTCTCCTGCCCCGGTCAGAGCTGGGAGCCTGGACAGCTTTTGGGAAGTGCCCAGAGCACACACTGCCTCCACCAAGGCACATGTTGTGTGCTCTGCTCCTGAGATGTCAGAAGAAATGGTTCAGCCTGAAGTTTACCAGGCTGTGCTTTATACGTAAGTGTTTCGGGCAAGATTTTGACAACCAAACAAAGCAAAATGTGCTTATTGCTGTCAGCTGCAAAGTAAAACCTCCAACCTTCCCTAGACACCTTTATCTGTGAGGAGTTCCACGTCCTACTGAAATAGAAGGAAAGAGTGGAAAAACAGAAGGAAACCCCACATTTGCTTTGAAAACTTGTCCTATTTAAAACATCTACATTTATGGCCCTCTTTGGGCACAGGGAGACTGAACCACTGCACAAAGCAGTCTCTGTGCTGCTCTCCTTAGGGAAAAGCTGTGAAATCTGGTCTAGAGATAAATATATTCTCTGGATATTGCAGTCTGACAAGTTCTTCCGCAACACATATACTGGAAAATAATAGCATTTTTGTTAAGTATTCTTGTCTTCAAGGTTCTCTGTTGAGGAGTTAATGGCTGAACCTCTCAATTATGGGAACTACTGGTTCTGCCTATGATCTACTGGAGATTCAGTTCTCTGCACCTGCTCCTTGGCTAGTAATTTTGGTTGGAATCAGTATCCCTCTGACAGGCCGCTCTGAAGGTCACCATCATTATCGGCAGTACTTGAGAAATGCGAGGTATCTGCCACTTGCCATTCTAGAGAAACATCACTTTAATGACCTCCAAGCAGCTCTAGCCTCTGACATACTCGTATCCTAGAATTCAAAGCCCAGCAACTGTAGCTGCCGTTCCAGCAGACGTCACTCCTTCCTCATGCCAGCCAAAGTTCCCCTCCGCAGTGTGCCAGAGGTTTGATCCTATCAGAGAATAGTAGCCAAGTGTTTTACACTGGGACTTGTTCCCTGAGCAGAGCCAAAGGCTCCGAACAATGCAATCTTGCATTAACCAGCAGGCTACATCAACGCAAGGTTACCGACAGCTGCTGGTGCAACCTTTGGCATCACTCATCCCTCCCATCTCTTTATTCAGACTATGTGGGACTGAGCCAAATGATCCCAGACTGAGCTCCCTGGATCACCAGACAAAGACTCAGAGGTTGGATCGAGTCGATAATGAACCCAACACACCACAGAGACGGCGTTGAGAGAAAGAGGGTGAAACGTTGAAGAATGACACATGGACTCTAGAGAAGATGCTGAGAACATAAATAATCACTTGGAGAGCTACAGGGGATTGCAAGTGCAGTAGGATGAAGGACACATGGCCTGAAGAGCATGGCCAGCAAGAGAAAGTCCCAGCAAAAATATATTGGTGACTTTTTCTTAGTTAAAAGACAGGTGAAAAGTACATAAAAATCCTGGACCTAACCTTCTCACCACTACAGGATTATTGTGTTAAGGATGAGAAGGATAGAGATCCAGGACTATTCCTCCATACAAAATTTATTCTTCCTTGTTCTCCTGTGTCTGACCGCAGATACTTGGTTTTGTTGCTTCTTGCCACTCAGGATTTCAGGGCAATGTCACACAAGCACAGATACAGAGCTAAGTCAGATTTTTGGTGGAAGTGGGTTTAAGTAAGCATCTTCCGTCCTGAGGAACAGGCAACACTTTTTTGCAGGAAACTCCCTGTTAAATGTCATCGTTGCAGACTTCATGAGTTTCCCTGTGGCAAAGCCCCTGTTAATGATTGTCTCTCTGGATTCTCACTGTAACAGCCACTCAGGAAGTGACCTTGTTGGCCATCTCTATGGCTGGGACGGATGGGATACAACGGATCTCACTCTGTTCAGACACAGCCCTTCTGTCCTCAAGTGGATCCTTTTAACACGGTATTTTGAGGATGCTGAAGACAGGGGGCATTGCTGGCTACTGAAACCACTCATCCCCAACTTCTGTCATCTCCCACCTTCCTCCTGCTGATGTTGGTGTTTTTTTAAAATCACCTTTACTAACAAGTTTTCCACATTGGATCCAGATACTTCTCTCTGATCTGCACCTCTAGGTTTGTTGCATACAAAAAGAGAGGAAATCTTTTGCCGTACAAAAAGAGAGGAAATCCTTCATCCACAATCAGCGATTACTGGTGGCAGACAGGAAACGCTTGGAAAAACTTTGTCAAGCATTAGTCAAGTCTTATCAGAGTGCACGCTAAAGAGAGTTTTTGGTGACATCTATGGTGATATCTGCCTGCCTTTCATTAGAGGAGAACTGCAGAGAAGGTGCAGAATAGCTTCCAGCTAGAACCAGAACCCAACTGTGGCTATAGCCAGAACATCGTCATGATCATTTATGATGCAGAGATCAATGATTCACCAAGATCAGCCCATCACGTTAGGTTCTACCTGAAAAAAATGCTCTGTTCCCGTCTAAACTGATGGGTCGACTGAAGAGGAGAAACAAAGAATGGAATCAGCCCTGAGAGAGTCAACAGGCTGGGAGTGCCTGTCAGCAACCAGCAGCTCTTACAAGGTCATGATTTCTTTCAAATGGGACGGGAAGCGTTGCTGCTGCCTACATTTGAGGTGAGGGAAGAGCTGATGCTTATTGATTTTTTTTTCATGTTCATGCAAGGACACAATCAAACCTGTAGCGAGGATCCTTCCCATCCATCAATAAAGAGCATTCTTTTTGGCCGTGGGGAAGGCTCTCCTGAGACCAGGGCTCGGTCTGGGCTTGTCACTGGTAGTTTCACTCCTGGTACAGACACTTTAAAATGCCAATAGTCATTCGTCTGCTTCCTCTTTCTTTTGTGGTTTCAACCACCTGCCTTGTCAATTGTTTCAAGAAGAGCTAATTAAAGGCTGAAACGGGGCCAATGAGGCACCTTCACTGCGTAGCGAATTCACTGCTTGGAAATATCCAATGGAATAACGATGACAAGCAAATATGGTGACACATTGTACTCCCAAGCTCCCTGAAAGCCCACCAGTCTCGAGGGATCTCTCTGAGCTGCGGACTAGGGGTGGGTTAGCCTTCTAAAACAAAGATCAGGCTTGGCTTGAAAAAAAATCCACAAATTTGAAGTCGGTCCTGATTCTCCAGCTTGATACCAATTGCAGCAAGCTCACAAAGAGCACTCCCTCTGAAACATTCCTGGTCCTGCTTTGTTTTCTTGTTTGATTACCACGTGGGCAAACACTCTACATGCTCTTACCCTATTGTTTCAGCACCGTTAGTCTTGCAGTGCTGGGTCAATGAATAAATTAAGGGGCACGCTGCTTCTATGACAAAGTGATGCTTTTGAGCCTTTGCTGCTTTTTCGCCTGTGCCCAGTTCACATAATTGCCCAAGGCTGTGTGAATCCTGACTTTGTGCTCATTTCCCCATCCCTGAAAGGGACATGGTTGCTTTGAGGACCTGTTCTGATCCTTTGCTCATGCCAACGATCCAGGAAAGGCTTCTCTCATCTCTAGAGGCCAGATTAGCATTATTGTTCACGATGGAAGTGGAAGACCATCAGCTGGCCTCCTCTGGAGCCTTTCTGCCATGAGTCTGTTGCTCAGACCACAGCTGCAAAAGCAAACAGATAGAGAGAGTCCAAGAAACACAAGAGAGGCATTCAATGCCCAGTGATGGCTGTGGCTCTCCACAAGGCTTCTGTTCTCCTGCTTTGACCTCCATACCAGAGAGATGACTGGCTGTTGTCTTTCCAAAAGTTACTGCAATTCTGCCAGGTATTTGCATATAGACCCACAACAATTTTAAACAACACATTAAAATGCAAAAGAGTAAAATAGAAAAGCCCCAGAACCAAGAACAAGGACAAAGCTGATTTTCAAATTGATTCAATAAATATAAACAGGGAGAGGCATGCTACCGTAAGCGATTTCTCTGCTCAGCCCAGATTAGATCAGTTAGGAGGGAGCGGACACGAGCAGGGGCAGCGGTGGCTGTCAGGAAGGAAGCTGCCAGAGAGGCTGATCCCGAGCGAGAAGGGAAAACGTGGGTAATGCCAGGCACTAATTTACTGCCAGTTGCCATTTCTGATTGCTTGCTTCCCACCCACCCCCTTGGCCCGAACTTACGAAGCAGTAGCTGCCGGCAGCTGTGGACCTCCCCATCGCTGCACCCATGCTTGCCCATGCCAGGGGAGACCTAGAGTCAGGGCTACCAGCCGCAGGGGACACAGCAGAGTGGGACCATCTCCATTGGCCAGGCTGGCGTCCCATGGCATATTTGGGTTTGTGTGACATGCTAGCAACATGGAGCAGGGCATTTATGGGTTGGAGGGAGAAGAAAGGAGAGAGGAGACCACCAGCGGTGCAAGACCAAAACATGCATGCATTCACATTTCCAGCAAATGGCCGTGCAGGACAGAGGGAAAAGTGAGCAGCCATGCCTGGGTGTTTTTCTCCAGCTAAGCACAGCGACCAGCCCCCCAAGCCCTTCCTCCCTTGACCCTCAAGAACTGCTCCAGTCAAGACCTGAGCTGAGGACCCCAGTAAGTAGCATCCAGCCTCCCGGAGTGCTGTGGGGCTGCATGTTACCCACTCCTGGCCCCGGCGCAGCTCTCTCGTGCAGCATTTCTTCACCACCCCCTTCTCCCTGGCCTTGGCCACAGGGCTGACCTTCATCTCTTGGGCCTCCAGCACCTTCTTGCCATCCCAAGCCCAGCTGCGCTTGGTGAAGTAGTTGACGGTGGCAAATTCGATCAGCGCAGAAAACACAAAGGCATAACAAACGGCTATGAACCAGTCCATGGCCGTCGCGTACGCCACTTTAGGTAACGAGTTTCTTGCGCTGATGCTTAGTGTGGTCATGGTGAGGACTGTGGTGACACCTGTGGAAAGACAGCAGGAGACAAGGATGGTGTGAGACCATACGCTCGTACCCACCCGGTTTCTCCTCAAACCGCAGAGTTGGCATTTCCATCACGTAAATTTAGGAGCCATCCTCCAAGCCATGCGGCCCACATTCCCACTGGAATTACCAGTCTTACCCAGCACAAGTCGATGGTGCAATTCATAGAATAATGAAACAGTCCATGTTGGAAGGGAAGTCAGCTTGTCCAGCCCCTGCTTGAACCAGGGCCAGCTTCAGGTTGCTCAGGGACTTCTCTGGTTAAGTTTGGAGTATCTCCAATTCATATAAATCAATGGCAAACATCTGCATTAGGATGAAATTAATATTCCCCAAACTCCACTGACTAGATCTCTGCTCACTATAAAAGTCCTAGCTCATAGATAGGCACCCACATTTGATTCCTCATCTGCCAGCGGGGTAAGTTGTGTGATGATAGACCCAGCTCTGTCATGGCGAAGCCTCTGGTTGCTTTTGCAATAAAAGAAAAATAATAACAAGATAACAGTAAAAAGGACAGCTACAGGGTTGAAAACTTCATGGAGGACCAGGAACTGGCCGCTCATCCAATGTGTTCTGTCAACATTTTGGATATAGTGTCTCGTGACCTGCATGGATGGACACTGGGATCCTGGGTGATGCTGGCAAGGCCAGGCACTCGTCAGTGGCCCAGGCTGCCAGGAGGAGTGTCACTACAATTTATCTTAAAAAAAATGATCTGTTGTAAAATGTCTTTTAAAGCTTTTTTCATTAAAGCAAGCAACCATTGCTATCCATTTTCCCCAATAATGTGCTTTTCAATTAAAAATGCATTAAAAACATTATAAAAATATTGACTAATTTTCACTTCCCTTAAGCCATACTCCTGGTAATTGAAGAGTTTTAATAATATTGTTGACAATACTTTCTGAGGGGCAAAAAAAAAGAGGAATAAACAATTTAAACAATTGGAATTCTCATTATTTTCTTAATAGGAAAGCAAGGCAATTTGGGAGCAAAGACATTTTTCACAAAGGTAGGTTTTAATTTTTCAGTCAGCTCTTTCCTGCTCGGTCTGAGCTCCTACTCAAGGAAAGCAGTCTAATTGCAAATCTCAGGATAATGCAGGAGGGAATCAAGTATCCTCAGAGAATGGCTCATCCCTGGTGTTGGGAGAGCAGAGACCCTCCAGAACCGCTGCAGATCTAAGAGCCCACCTGGGGCATGGACAGACACGGGGTCCAGGTGCCCACTCTGTGGGGTTTAGCTGTAGATGATTTACAGACAGATGAGTGAGGAAAGTTCATCGATGACTCCCTACGTGCCTCAACTGCTCCTATTTTCCACGTTGATTCTGTCTGAGCTCCCCCTTTTCCATTCTGCTGGAGGAAAACACCAACGCTAAGGGGCTGCATTCCCACTTCTTCACTGTTGTCACTGTTCATCGCAGCTCTTGCAGTCTGGATCGTGCAAACCAGTTTGGTGATACTAACCGACCCTGGGGATCGCTGTAGCATCTGCATCACCAGGGAAGGGAAGGCTAATCCAGTGCCTCTCCCCACCAGGGAGAAGTTGGGGTCAACTGTAAATTTTAAAGCTTGTTCATGGCCTACATTTCACAAGCCCCATAATGATCCCCTTCTAGTTCAGAACCACCTGTGAGCTTCCCTGTGTCCCGTTACAACCCACGGCACGGGGACAAGGTCCAGGCCTGCAGAGAGGGTTCAGAAAGGAGGACATCAGCTTTGCTGGGTTTGTGGGAATACTTCTATTACAACTCTTGCTACAGAGAAAACGCTTCATGATCTTTGAAAAGGCACCACTTTCTGTCTTATTCAAAAAGACAAGCAGGTGGTACCCTATATCACCTCTCTGCTTGGTGACTCTTGTCCAATACACTCTCTGTTAAGTGGTGTCTGCTGGACACTGCTATTTCCAGGAAATACAATCCTGCAGCATCACACCTGCTCTGTGAGTGTGTGCGCGAAGATACAGAACTAAAGGTCTTGGGAGGAAAGCACAAAGCAATTCTGTTATTAAATGCTTGTAAAAGCTATTAATATATGTACCATGCCAGCCTGACACTTTGCCTTGGAGAGAGCATCTGAAACCAGCTGAAGAAAAAAATAACAATATATTTACTGTGCAGTTCTACCGCCTCAGCCCAGGAACTTGTTATGTGCAGCTCTAACCAGGGGCACATTAGCAATTTCAAAGGTAGAGCTTTCAATGCCTCCCTATGTACCTATTCTCTCCTCAACTCAAAAGCCAATATAGGTAAGCAGACACAGCCAAATGCATATAATTAGATGATCAATACCTTGATTACTGTTAATATTTATGGCTTGCCTTGTAGCAGAAACATGGACAGGAGTATTTTTGCAGTGATTCAGTGGCAGCAGGGCACTAGAAAGACACTAAGAACTGCTCTGGGAAATGGCCACCAGCTTCACTGATGCCGGTCAAGGGCTGGAGAAGACCAGCTCTACTTGAAAGGACATTGTAGAGAGGTTGGTTCTGGTCTCTTCTCCCAGGTAATTAGCAATAGAACAAGAGGGAATGGCTTCAAGCTCCAACAGGATAGGTTTCGCCTGAACATTAGGAAAGAGTTTTTCACAGGAAGAGCAGTCAGGCATTGGAATAGGCTGCCCAGGGAGGTGGTTGAGTCACCATCCCTGGATGTGTTTAAGAGTCGTTCAGATGTGGTGTTGGGGGATATGGTGTAGGGGAGAACTTTGTAGGGTAGGGTAGATGGTTGGACTCGACCCAAGGGTCTTTTCCAACCTAAATGATTCTACAATTCTATGATTCTATTTGTGGTACCTTTCTCCCCCTACCCAAGAGGATTCCCTCATGCTTGCAGACTCACCAAAAACTGTTCGGGCAGGAACGGACTCCCTGTTAAGCCAGAAGGAGACCTGGGACAGGATGACCGTCATGATGCAGGGTAGGTAGGTCTGGATGACAAAGTACCCAATCTTCCTCTTGAGGTGGAAGTGTGTGGTCATGACGACATACTCTCCTGCAGAGACAGCCGGTTAGAGATGCTGAGCTGCTGGTGCTTTCCAGGGTGGGGCCAGCTGATCACCAATCCACATCTAGACCACTTAAGACCTGTCCTGAACAAACTTTCAAGTTCTTAGCTGAAACTGCAGAGTGTGTGTTGTATTGTCACTGGCTGGCATGCCCTGGTATCTTACAGCAAGGCAGGCCACCCTAACCTCCATGGGAAGGAGGGATGCATGCTCAGCATTGACTTTGCACGTCCTGCCCATGCACACACAACTGCTGTGCCATGCTAGGACATGCCCCAGTGTGCCCTGGGTGACTTTCACACAGCATCTGTCCTTTCAAAACACTTCTCTGGAGATGACTTTAATTCACTATAAAACAGTTATGGGACAAAGGCAAATCAATGCCGATAAACAACCAAGCAATAGGCTTTCCCTGTTTCACCCCAGGCACAAGATGGCTCTGGGGGGGTCTTCTCCTCATCCAGCTCCCATCCCTTTCCTGCTCCAGCCCAGGGAGCCGTGTTGTGGGTAAGATCACTTAAGTCTAGAGAGACCCTAACAGTGCTTCAGTAGGACTTCTGGAAAAATGATTTTATTTTCTCTGACAATCCTGAAAGTATTCCACCTTACCTCACTGTGACCATCTCAAAAATCGGAGCAAGTTCTGTTGTTAAAGGTCTGGGCTGTAAACCAAAGAAGCAGCTGTCCCTAATTTCCCTCAATGCCCTATTCCTCCACTCAAAGCTCTGGATATTTTGTTGGATTATTGTGCCTTTTTGTTGTGAGCATGGCTCTGCTAAATCATTACACACAGGAGCCTTTAGCAGCTTTCTTGCCACTTCAGGTTATTCATCTGTACATTTTACTACAACTTAAGTAGAGAGATGGGCCAGATATTATGACATTTAGTTCCCTGGACTCCCCACATTTCCCCAAGGGAGGTGATATGAGTTGTTACAGACAGACACTATTAAAATCAAGTGCACCAGAGAGGAAATATCCTCAAATGAGAGAACTACTGGTGCATACAGAAGAAAAAGAAAAAAAAAAAAAAAAGAAAAGAAAAGAAAAAGAAAGATGAGACACACATGAGATAACAGAAGCTATCAGTACCTGGATTCAGAGGGGAAGGGAGGAGCAGCAGATGGGAGAGAAAGATGATTAATATTGGTCATTAATCAGAGGAAACATTTGTTTGGGATAATCTTCTATTAGCTAGGATAATATTTGTGTAAGCAGATGCAGTGAAAATCACACTGAACATTATGTTGCATTTGCCTCCCCTGCCTGCAATGTTCTCCTGAGGGACTGGAAAGGGATCCAAGACAAATGAACCCACAGTACCAAGAACCAGCTGGGCAAGGTGGGGCAAATTTTCTACAAAACAGACCATTTTTAGATGCTTGAAATCAGTTTTCTAGAGGGTATGGGTGATAAGGCTCTTTCAGTGGAAACCACTAAAAGCTAAATCCTTTAGTGACTGCTCCAGATGTCCCCAGCCATATTGTCCAGCAGCACGTGGCTTGGGAACTACTGTGGAGCTCACTCTCCACAGGTCCTGCCTCTATAGTTATGCCAAATCATGACATTCAAAGCACATGGGTCTATCTTGTCTGACAGCCCAGACACCACATTATGGTCCCACAAGTACCTGTGCTGGATCGAACCATCTCTGTCCCAACAACATGGCCCAGCAGGTCATACTGGTTCAGGCGAGATCCACCCTTCGCTACTTCCACTGATTTATCCTTCCCCAGTGTCCAGGTGTAGATCACCTCTGTCTTTGTGTAGGCATCTGCAGAGGAGAAAGAAGAATGAGGTTTGTGCTTCTGCCTGACCCAGAATATACCAAAATTAGCCTGTAGCCAAATTAATCCCTGCTGTGCATTCCTCAGAGCCACATGGCTGAGCACAGCCAAGCATGGCCAGAGACCAAGGCAGTTCAGCAAATGTTAAGTCAAATGAGTGAAAGGGAGCTGGGGAGGGAAGCTGGAAGAGGGGGCAGAGCGCTGTCGTTGAGAGACACGCTGTCCCCTTGACGTGCTGACTCTGCAAGAGCTGGCTCCGAGCAGAGACAAGATAGGAAGGCGTCCAGACCAGCAGGCTGCTGGGGCAGCAGGACAGCCACAGCCCTGCCATGCCAGGGACCAGGAGAGTCACACACTGGGAGCAGCTGGCAGGAAAGGCTGAATGCGTTGAGTTTTAGGCTAAGGAGAAAAAGTTTAAAAATCTTTACCCTCACGCAGATGCAACCCTCTGCAACCTCACAAGGTAATGTGCCCTCCCACCAAGATGCTTTTTCCCCTGCACAACACTGTGGTTTGCCAGTCTCCAGGCCATTCCCCCAGTGCAGAGAAAAGCTAGAGACATATCAGGTGAGTGCCGCTGGACCGCTGGATGGAGGAGAGCCAGGCTCAGGGCCAGGACAACCTTCCAGGGGCTTGCAACTTCCCCTCTCTATCCCACCTGCCCAGCTCTCCATGTGCAAACACCTCTCTCTAACACACAGAGTCACCAGAACCTTCACAAGCCTTTGTGGCCCAACCCCTGCTTGTCCTCACAGCCTTTCCCAGCGTCACCCGCATGCTCTTGGGTTGGCCAGTTCTACAGTACCTAGAAATTGAGTCTCTCCAGACTCTACTAGAAGCTGCTTCTCCCCATATTGCCCAAGCTTCCTGTCTATACCCACTCTGCACCAGCTTTTTAGGCAAGAACTAAGTTCACTAAAACAAGTTCTTAATTCATTTTTATCACCAGCTTCTCCTATTAAGACATTAAGGAATTCTTTGGCTGGAGTCAGGTCAGGCCTACTACACAAATGCCTCAGCTCCTGCTTTGTGGAAGACTGTGCCCTGAAACCACCAGATTTCTCTAATCTTTTTAAAACAACCACTGTTACCCCTGCACTGTAGGCTTTGGCAAACCTGTTAAATACTAAGCAGGTGCTGTGCAAAGTGGGGGAGCGGTTTTGATGATCAGCCAATGTTTCTCAGCATGCAAGCGTGCTGCCTAAGCACTTCTGATGCAGGCTGGCACCTCTCACCCCATGTGCAACACTCTGCTTTTCCAGACCCTCCTTCCAGCTCTCAACATGCTTCTGAAGGCCTCCATCCTCCTTTGGGCTTAGCTTTGTACAACTCTGCCAATGCTCTTCCGCCTTGATGGGCACCACCTTCTGCTCTGGCAGTCACAGTTCACCCACCACCGCCCTCAGTCTACAAAGGAAACTTGCCCACAGTTTGATTGCCATCCTCCCTGAAAAAAAACCTAGTTGTCTACATATTTGGTCGCCCAGGACAGAATCGTATCTGGTGTCATGTAGGCATGGCATGGATGCTTGGAACATATTTAATGCCATGAAGCTTTTTTGGTTCTGCTCAATGTCTCACTTGCAATGCGGTCTAGTCCAATTCAAACAAGGACAGCTCTTTGACATTTAGTGGAGCTGGTAACTTCAACAACATCTTCTGCTAGCCTCGTCTCAGACAGCTGCTGTACAAATGTCCCATGACTGGCTTAGAAACAGTTGTTCTCTGCTGCGTACATCCATCTTCTAGGGAACATGGTGACAGGTAAAGTCATCACCTTCACTGCAAAGAATGACGCAGGTGGGCAGGTGAAGCTATCTGAAATGCCTGATGCCCTTACTTCTCCTGCAAGCTCTCTGCCTTCCCTCTTCGGGTGGCTGCCGTGGTGGCACAGGGACAGCAGGCCACTGATGAGCCATTCAGGTTGTGGGGGGTCGCTGGAAGCTGGTCACTGCAGCAAATTTGGCCCTCCTTTGAACAGCATGTGTCTGGCCCTGGTATTGTCCTTCTACTTACAGGTCTGACCCACTCCAAGCTTCTTGCAAATGAGCAGCATCCAGCTGTCGATGGCTTTTTGGTGCAAACACTAGTTTAATCCCCCTCCAACACAGGAGAGGTGAGCTCAGCTCCGTGTGGATGGGTGCTTTAAAAAAAGCTGTACTAATGTTAATCAGGGGCAGCTCTCTGAGCTGCTTGTGTCAAAACTCTCATCATTCACAGGCCAAATCAGTAAAAATACCCAGAAGAACCCCAAAGGGTGTTCCAGCAAAAATATGCACATTAATCTCTTTTCCTCACCAAGAAACATTATAAGCAATTAGATGTGGAGTAATCTGCCTTCCTGCAAGTCTTGTAATAATCCCAGAGTTTAGGCCTGAGGTATGAGATTTTATATCCCTCCTCACAAGGTCAATTAACATTAATAATTCATCCTCCTCTAAGGCTTGCTATTTTACTTACTGGCCTCAGTGATGTCTTGTGGCAACGAGTTCTACATTTAATTAGGTGCTGCCTAAGAAATAACTTTATTTTAGTAGTTTTGAATAATCCAGTTTCATGGATGCATTTTGTCATGAGGCAGAGGAGCAGATGCACATGATAAATGTGATTCCTTCTGATGTCAATCAAACTTTTCAACTTTCTTCTGAGTTAACTCCCAAATGACTATAGGAAGGAAGCACCAGTTTAGAAAGGTTGTAATTTCTCAGTTTTCTTAAGGTCCAAGAGGGAGGTTACTGGTAAGGGCTCATCCCTTAGTTGGAGGTGGGTAACTCTTCCTTCTAATGCAAACAGGGACTGAGAGTGGTGCTCAGTTTGCTGGACCAGGCAGAGCTGGACTAGGAAATTTATTTCCACATTGTGGCGAACCAGTGGCTTGGGATTTGGTTCCCACTCACTTTAGGAACAAAAGCAAAAGAAATTTAACTTGCATACAGGAGAGAAGAGGGAGCTTGTTGCTAGGCAGGGACAGGGAAGCCCAGGTGGATGAGCAGCTGCAAGCCTGGGAGGCTGGGAGCAGCTTTCAACTCAGCAACAGCCTCCAAACCTTCCCTAAACCAGGACCCTCGGGTATTGGGACTGAGATTCCCAGAATTTCCAAGCCTTTTACTTGAGAGCAGCCTGCCTCACAGACTGAAGAGGAGCAAGAGGTTTGTAAGCTCCATTGGAGCATGGAGCCAGGGCAACCAGAAATCTCAGGCTCTCCCCAGAGTGGCAGGAGTGATGTGGGGAAGCTGGATAGGATACCTAGAAACAGATACCACTGCTATCTTCCCAAAGATGTCCCCACAGGATCACCTTGTGATGAAAGAAAAGCATCTCTGAGTTTTCTACCAATGCAGATCCTGCTGAGGCAGCGATGAAGAGGCAGTGCTTCCCCCCCAAGGCAGGGAGGGCAACGGAAAGCTGCTGCTCTTACTTCCCTAATAACCTTACAGCAAAACCATAGGTGTCTACCCCATCCTGAGCCAGAACAGACCAGAGATTTGCTTGCTACCCATTTTGGACACTGGTAGGAATTGCATGTGAGAGATACCAGAAACAAATTTTTGGTCATGTTATCGTTAGGAATAATAATTAATAATGCTGTTACTAAAACACCAGAAAACACTAGCCACACAGAGGACTGCTCCTTAGCTCTGTACCCACCTCCTTGCAGAGGCTGAGCAGGGTACTTACAGCTCCCGAATTTCAGCGGGCAAGCGTGCACATCCATTGGGAAGTCCTCCAGGTGCATAGGGCACTCTGCATGAATCGTTAGCCTACAAGACAAAACACAGGGCACGATCAGAAACACACGGCCGTGGAGGCTCCCACCCGGCCCTTCTGCCACAGCATCCCTGCCCTGCATCCATCAAATGCGACAAAGGCCACGATGTGGTCACTAACCTCTGGGTCTCTGGGCAGAAGGCCATCAGCTGCGGAGAGAACGGCAGGCACACAGACCTGGCCACCTTTTCCCATTCTATAAACTCAACCCTATTGACTGAGTTCATCTTTATCCACTCAGTGCAATCAGAAAATCTGCCAAAGCCCAGGACCTCTGTTTGCTTACGCACTGTGCACAAAGAGCTCATTAATGCCTGGGGCCAGGGGACATCTCGGGGACCGTGCTGGAAAGCGGAGGGAAAGGGCTTCTGGAGAACACGTCCTGTTCTTCCTACTGGTCTGGAAGGAGCCGAGGGCTGGCAAGTTGTTGAGTCAGGAAGCCACAGCGCTGCTGGGCTTGTTGAACAATGTCAGTCAGAGCCATGAAGCTGCAGGTGTTGCACCAGGGCACAACACAACCCTGTGCATGTGGGGGCACCTCAACCCACCTCCCCTGGCTCTTTCCTCGCTGGTGGGAAGGATGCTGCAGGCGGAGGCAGAACTGTGTGTCCTGGGGCTGTTTTTGGGGGGGTGCAGGACAACTTGTGCACTTCAGGCATCCACCAAATCCCAATAGGATACCTCGTCAGGAAGCGGTTTTTTGAGGGAGGCACAACCACGAAAGCGGTGTGCTGCAGAACACGGGGCCAGGCATTAAAGGCTCTGTTATAAAAGGCTCTAAAATAGGTAGCTCTAAGCTCGTGTTCCTTCCTGAAGTACTGCAAAGCCCGCAGCCTAGGAGGGGGAGAGCCAGGACAGACGGCTTCCCAGGAGACCTCTAATACAATCTTCTCTGAAGGAACCATTGGTAGAAAAAATGACCCGCTTCTGACGGCTCGGCAAAATAGCAAATAAACCATGACAGGAGGAACAGGTGGATACAGAGGGCCAGTGCACAGACCGAAGGGCTGAAGGTGGCTTGTGGAAAACCTGGGTCAAGAAGCACAGTGGAAAGCATCTTTTGAGATATTTTTCTTCGGCTGGAAAAAAGGTTCAGGTAAGTTATTCTTCATAGAAAATACCGAGTCATGTTTTACATTTAGTCAAATGTAAAACAAACCCTGAAAAAAATGAAAGGGTTCAGATTTTGTTTGCTAAAAGGAACCAAGAAAAAAAAAAAAGGAAAGAAAAGAAAAGAAAAATAAAGGTTATTTCTTTGAGGTGGAAATCAATCCACAAAAAAATAAAAAAAAAAAAGAGGAAACTGTTCTTTAAATGGCATAAAAGATTTGGTGGACAAAGCCAAGGACTTCACAAATTGCCCTAAAAAGCCCTGTGGGGGAAACAAAGCAGAATCGCTTGGAGGTGGCAGGGGATCTCCGGGGCTGCAGCGATGGTGGCTGCAGGCGGCAGATGGTGCTGTGACAGGAGGACACCAGCGCGAGCGAGGGATGGAGCAGCAACAAAATTCCTGCACAGCTGCTCCGCGTCGGCTGCGCTGGAAAACTCTCTGTTGGCTGTGAATTCTGCTCTGCCAGGTGAGGAAACGAACCTCGCCATTTCACACCCACGTCCAGCCTCATCTGCTTCTTTTAGAGGGTCCAGGAAAGCTGGCATCCCCACGAGAGACGGGCAGAGGCATTAAATCAAGAAGTGGAGGAGCAGAGCTGGAAGATGCTGTAACTTTGATGGGGCAGGGCTGGGTGGCCAAAACCCTCCTGCGTGACCCAGAGTCCCTGCAGCACCCACAGCAGGGATTTAAACACTGGTTAACCCAGCCTTTGGGAATGTCTGGGAGGTGAGGCATGTGATCCCTTTGCAGTGGTCGCTGGGGTCACCGTGCTGCTGAGCAGATGGCACCATGGGGAAGTCTACGCCTTAGTCTTGTATGAGCTAGAAAAGGAAAGCGGTGAGTTTCCTGCAGACCTTCTGAACCCAGCCCCACAGCATTTTAGTGGTACCTCCCTGCTCCTTAATGGAACAGCAGCACATATTCATTTCTGCTGTTTTTCAGTGCCAGGCACCACTGTCCTGTCTCCACTGGGCGCATCCACCCCACTGTGCCCCAGAAACTACTCCACAGGCTGGGCAGGGAAACCTATAAAAGCAACTCTCAAAATCAGGACAGGTTGGATCCTGATAAACAGCTCTTAGCTACTCAGCATCAGCTGGACTTGGTCCCTGTATGTCCCATGGAGACTGGGGCTTCATGCACTGAAGCCCTGAGGGGCTGGCTGTTGAGTCCCGAGGGCTCACAGCCCAACCATGGCTGATGCAATGCTCCATACTCTGGCCAGGTTAATCACAGCCAGTTTATTGGGTCTATGCCAGCTGACTCCACCTCCAGTAGAGGAAGCCAGTGGATATTTATAGAGAAGTAGGAAACCTGGGTGGTTTCAGAGCAAACCACACCTTGCTGTCATCTCCCAGCAGCTGGTGGCTTACGGCGTTCATGGTTCAGAGGTGACTGAGAGACCAAGGACCGCTTTTACTCTAAGTATGCCAATCCTTTCTGAATCCATGTACATGGATAGTGACCACAATGTCCTGTAGTAACCATTCTACTGACAAAGAGGTGATGATGACTGTCCTGTTTGCGTTATGTCTGGCCCCAGCTTGGCTCCCTCACCCATCCGAGAACCACTGTGTGGCCAATACAACTTCCTTGGAAACAAATCATTCTTTCTGACTTGCTGATCGCTTCTTCAGCTCTGGACTGAATGTATCTGTTTTACAAGAGACAGAAGATGACCTAATCTTTAGGACTTCAACCAAGACTCATTGAAGTCAACTGAAAGACTGACAGTGATTTTGAGACAAGCCTACAAGCACACTGTTGGAATGATTTTCTTCTGGACACTCGAAGGGCACCGTGAACAAATTACTCATTTGCTCTGATGTGTTTCTGTTGTAACCGGGATAAAGATTAGGATTTCAAGAAGCAGGTATGAAAACAAGCACGGTGTCAACTCAACAGCCTCGCTCCTCCAGTTCTGTTTCTTTTGTGATGCTTTGTTCTGTCAAGTTCACTTGGGGAGCTTCATGGTTGGCAAGCCTGTCAAGCGTGTCCTCAAGGATCTTACCATTGAATTATTTCTGTGTCCTTTCCATCTGCAATGGAATTTTTTTCTTCTAATATTTGTCACTGTAACTTGTGTAAAGGAAATGCTGATGCATTTCCCCTGTCTCACTCAGCAGGATGCTCAAGACTTCTTCTTTTCACCTTCCTATTCCTTTGTTGCCTTCACTAATTGCTTTATTATTTCAAAAGGCTTTTAGCTGGGTGTTCCCAAAGCTGGCTTTTCCAAAGGACCTCTCCTCTGATCAGTGCTTTCCTTCTGATGTATCCTGAATTCCCCCAAAAAACAAGAACTGTACTGTTCATCCACTGTACTGTTTGCAAGTCTTGGCAGTCATCAACAGCCACCATGAATAAGGCTGAACAACTCAAAGGACTGCAGATTGTGGGTCTGGTCATTGAGTGACATTTGGAGCTGCCAGAAAGAGCCTCAGAGGGGGCCAGGACGGCAGCAGAGACCAGCTGGCACAAGCTGGCTTTGGCCATACCCTCCTGTCCTCTCCAGGCCATGGCCAACAAGAGCAAGTGTTGTCAAGGGACACTGGATGACTCCATAGGCGTGTGGGAATGCAGCAATTACATTTTAGATCTAAAGTGTATTTTATTAGCTAAGCCAGAAAACACCACCACAATAAATCCATCAACAAAGCGCTGAAAAAGCAACCTAATCTGCTGCTTTCCACCTACAACTGAAGGAACTTTAAAGTCTCCTGAAATTAACCAAAAGAGAAAATGCCATCTCATTCCAGTGGGGAGCCTGGTTCAGCAACCTCAGCCAGCCCAAAGTCACAGATAACACACGAAGGGAGTCAGCTCCCCTGCTGCAGGGGGAAGCAATCCCCCCTCCCAGGTGTTGTCCCTTGCCTCAAACCTCTTCGATTTGCCCCGACACACGCCGGGGTGTGCTGGCTCTCCGAGATGCTCTCCCCACGACCAGAGTTTATGCACTGCTGCTTGCTCCTGCCCACTCCTTGTTCCCCCTGCATCCCTTGGCCATCTTTCACCCCTTCTCCTGCAGCCTCTCTTGCACACGCTCATCTTTCAGAGTGCTAATTAGCAGAGGTATTTAGGCGAGCTGCAGAATCAATCAGCGCTCAGGAGAGTGCCCACATTCCCCTTCCACTCCCCCTCCCGCGCTGGCCTTCCCCGTCACCTCCTGTTGCTGGCGAAGGACTCCTCAGCACCATATGCTTTGCTTAATGAAACGTCAAAATGTCAAACTAAGAGGAATGTATCTGGCTTCCCAGACAATTACCGCTGCCTCTGCAGCATTTGGGTAAAAGAGCCTGTTGCAGAGATTCTCATCTTTGCCCCTTTTACCCTGGGTAAGGGAGCTCACGGCCAGCTAGCCACAGGGGTTTGCTTCAATGCTCTGATGCCCTGTTCAGGTCCAGACATTTGAGCCCTGAACTGTCATTATAAAGCCTAAACAGCATGTGAAAAATAGACAAGCTGCCAGCAACCACATAATCCAGCTGTTGTGCCCTTTGGCTCATCTGTCCCAGGCGCCAGCAGTAACTTATGCAGAACTGTCTTGAAATCAAATCCCAGATTCCCCATGTTTTCTCTTCACTTTGCTGGCACAATGGCAGCCAAAGTGGAACATCCAGGAGAGAAACCATGTTTTTCTCTTTAAAGTCATGGGAAGTCCTTTGAACTGCTCAACACAATGGCAAGAAGCGTGAATCAGGCTAAACATACCTCTCCCAGGGCTGACGGTACAACAAACCACTTCAGCTTCGTTCTCATGGTTACCGGGAGCTTAGCGAAGCCTTTGATGTGTCATTAGAGCCCCTGTCGTTACCTGCGTCGTGGTGCTGCAGGATGAGCGAGAGCCTCAGTCCAATTTCTGGGACGCAAATGTAATAATCCCTT